GAGGATCAAAACATGTAGTTAATCATCCGATTTATTATACTTTTGTTTTATAACTCAATTAACTCCTGTGTCAACAGCAAGTTAATCGAAACATAAAGATGGACTGTGAGAATTAAGCACATGATTCCGATGCCTTTCTAGAAGTTAACAAGAATTACCTGTGCCGAGATTTAACTTATCTACAAACAAGCAAGTGTTTCTATAAGGCATCCAACCATGACATTAATGTTNCAAGAGAAAAATTGCACCCTTTGAAACTCTCCTAATGGGAGTATTTATAGGCAAGGAAGGGGAGGGGGGAAGATAAGAGAGGATGAATGAATATTGTATACCGCCCAAGTCTAAGTGAAAATCAACTACTCTGCAGGCAGTCTGTGGAGGACGTTCGAACGTGAGTTAATGATCAAACGTTTGTTCTGTTTTGACTTTATGGACATTAGAACGTTTTTTGATGTTCGAACGTGTCTTCTATCTTTGCTTTAGGAGCGTTCGAATGCTAGATGGGGTTTGACCATATCACTCAAGTGGTTTGTGGTCTTCTACCCACTTCTACACTCCATGCACATCTTGGCTTTTTGCACTCACCACTCTAGTTTTTAATCAAATCAAGTGGACGTTCGAATGTAAGTTGGCATTCGAACGTGGTGCTCAAGTACTTCAGGGTCTTCCTTTTGGACTGCAACATGCTATGTCTCAGCAGTATGGTCTTCTAGAGTTCAAGTGGACGTTCGAACGTTCCTATTTTGTTCCAACCTTCTCCAATTTTGTTCCCTAATGCACTGGTGTTACACTTAAGTGACATTTGTTGTTCTTGAGCCTTTGTTCACTTTAGCACCTGAAATGTTATTATTTAAGCTCTATCAAAGTACAATTAGTCCCAAAAAGACATAGTAAAATGCTAACTTTTAAAACTTTTAAGCACTAATCATCTACTGTCTCGGGCGCCTGTGCCTTGATGGCGTTGAGGGCATCACCAAGCTGGTTTTGTACCACTCTAATCTTCTCGTCCCACTGATTGGGAATATCCTCAGTTGAGTGGTGGTACTGGCTTTCATGGTCTCCATTTCGGTTTCCTCCATCTTTGTTCTCCTACGCAAGTACGTGCGGAGGGAGTACGCAAAAGCTCCCTACGTGCTGAGGAGGGACTGCCAGGTGAGGGGCGACCGGACGTGGCCCTGGAGTGTTTTGACGAGGGGCCCCATGGTGGGGGGCTGCCTGGCACCTAGAAAGGACAGACTGTTGCTCCTCTTTTGTTGAAGAGAGTGGGGCTCCTCCCACAGGGTGAAGGGCGACGCCTCCTTGGGCGAGCATCAGTTGGATGATCTGTTGATTTTGGCTCATTAGCAGCTGCATGGTTTGGAGGAGTTATTGCTATTGCCCAGCAGGAGTCGCAGTAACAGATGGTTCCACAGGTGCGAGGGGAGGTGAAAGATCCTCCCAATGGACTGGGTTGTTGTCTCCCGGTTGTTGACTCATTGATCAGGTAGTGATTGCCATGGATTAAAAAAGTAGAAAAACTAGTCGTTCCAACAGACGACGCCAAACTGATGATGCACAAATCGGTATTGCACAAAATTAATAGTCAAGAATATGAACGAGTGTAATTAATGAGCAATTAACCAGTAATCAATGACAATTAAGAGCAAAAGCGGTAAATAAGCAATCAATACAAAGAATTATAATGGTTCGGTCGGATGACCTACTCTATTCTCTAGAACGGTAACGGTGGCTTGAGTCTTTTATTGATGAATGAAGTCGTCGGAGAGAGTATTATCCAAGAGTATTATAGTGCTTAGAGGGAGAAAGAGAACAATGTAAGTAGGAAGGTGTAGTATGTGTAAGGATCTCAAGGTCATAAAGGCATCAAGGTGGTAAGGTGATCATGTCCTCTATGTGGAGATGACTTACATTATATAGGTATGATGAGGCGGTGATGTGAGGGAGATGACTTCTACTATTTTGGCAAGTACAAATAAAGTAAGATTAGATCTCCGTGCGTATTCTGATATTCTCTCCCTCGTGCTCCTATTCAGTCGGAGGAGGATCTTGGACTTGGACTTTAGTTGGTGGGTGCTGGACTTGAATTGGAGTGTTAAGGTCAAGAGGGCGAAAAGCGCAAGAGAGGCAGCATGGGACAAAGGAGGGAGAAGATCCCCTCGAGGTGGCCTCCCTTGGGCGACGCCTCTTGGGGTGTCCCTCTTGGACTCCTCATTGACTTGTTGACTTGGGCTCTGAGATGACGTGGGTCTCTCTTGATTCGTTGGGCTTGACCTAGTTAATTTCGGACTCATCAAAAGGGTTAAACATTCTATTCTCTTAAGACTTATCACACATATGTACTCCATCAACTAAAAGTTTATTTGATTCATATCATAACAAAATCAAATAAAAAGTCATTTAATTTTATAATTTATACCATACAAGATGAATAAATAAAAAAAATTCATATATATTTTTTAAAACATTGTCGTGTCAGAATCTGGTCATTCATTTTTGATACTAACACAATCAATTTATTATTGATACTAAATTGTTGTAGCGGTTTACATTCGTGTCATATAGGGTCAAAATTTGCCACACCTAGTAACATATTGGGTTGAACAGTTTTGAGAAGAACTTTTCAGGGGCTGGGGTATGAGTCTACCAGCTCAATCAAAACAGTTGATTGCTGAAAGTGCTCAAAATTTAGCAAGATTGCTGAATATTTGATCACCAGAGTTTTGGATTCAGGTTTGGGGCTTTGGAGTTTGGAGGACTGTGTTTACCAACATTACACTACAACATTGTAGGATTATTAGGGGCATAATGAAAACATACTGATGGGACATTTCCAAGTACTCCAAGATGAAGACACGTGTCCTTGGCATCAGTAAATTTTTTTCCTATAAACACGACACGTACCCGTCGGATCACAAGTCCCTATTCCCCCAAGGTACTGTTCATAGGGATCAATGACACCTAGTACGTTACATACCAACACGTATCCCTCGGGGTCGTATAGGGTACATCGGTCCCTACATGTACCAATCCCCCTCGGTATCGAGATGTACCTCGTCCAGGATGGCATTCTCTGCTTCTGCAGAGGCTATTGATGTGCAGGTCACTAGCCTAGGTTAGGCTAGGTTAGCCATAATGACCTCGTCTTACACAATTAGTGTCAGAAGGCACAAGAAGGCAGGGGACATAGCCAATGGGGAATGGACGCGTGACATATTGTGTCACATCAGAGACAAAAAGACCGGATGCCCTTGCTGGTATACGACTTGGGAAAACAAGCATTTAATTACACCATTCTCTTGATGAGACAACTTTTAATGCGGTAAGGCTCGGAAGTGAAAGGTAATAAATGTTTCTAAGGCTGGACATTTATTACATCCTTGCTGAGAGGAGCTCATTAAACAGTCGGCAGGCCGATGACACAGCCTTGGTTGTTCGGGATCCTGAGCAGTTAAAAGAGAAGACATTCCTCATAGGAATCAGTGTGCATATTGCCCGTATCTAATAATCACCTACTGACCACACTAACAGCAATCATGAGTATTTGAGGTATAAATACTCCTCACAAAATACAAGAAAAGAAGGAAAAAAGAAGGTGAAAACCTTTTCTCAAACTTATACTCAGTGTTTTCTTTTTCCTCTCTCTCAAATACTGACTTGATCGTTGGAGGAGATACGCCGAAAAACACTCCGGCGCCCTTCTAACTTGTCTTTCTTTGTTCCAGGAACCTTCCTCAGCTTTACTGGATCGTTCCGTTGATCCACGAGGGTCTCCCATTATCGTTCCAGGTTACCACCGGACCTCACAGGCTGTTCCAAGCAGTAGGGTTGACCATTCGACTGACTCACTCGAGTTCACCAAGAGAGAGATCTGTTCTCGTGTTTATATTGTGCAATATCCAGGACGCACACATACAATACCTATAGGGGCTATAAGTAATTTCAGTAAATAACATAAAACTTAACTGTAGAAGATAAAATGCAAAACTTGGAGGGAGTCATGACCCCCTAGTTACAAGGTGATTCTGATCATAGCATCTCTCCAAATCACAATCGATCACAAACAAGTAGAATGTTCTATTTTTCATATTTTTGGGAGGATGACAGTCTCATATCTTAAGAGTTTGGACTCTATTTTACAATTTTGATGAATAGGCAATGAATGACCCATTTCTGAAGAACGAGTCAGCCGAAGAGTAGTGTCATGTAACATTCATTTAATCAAAAGAGGATGTACAACTAGTCAATGTGACCTGTTCAAATTCGAGGACAACTATAACTCTTGCGAAGGAGGGAACGGAGCAGTTATTCTAAAATTTTAAAAAGACAACAATTATCAATTCTTAATGGGCTCCAGAAGTTTAAAAAGTATATTTTAAAACAAGAGAGAAACTTAGGAAAACTGCCTGAAGAAGCCAACGTAATTATCGATGAAGAGATGCCTATAAAACAGGCATTGATTGCAAAAGAGAGAATACAATCAAACACGTCAATGACCCACGCTTGGACACATCTAAGAGTAGTTTTAGTTTCAAAGGCTGTTTCATCATTCTATTGTCACCCAAAAATCTTTTCAATTAATAAAAGTGTTTTTCCATTTGTTATCATTGTACTTGCTTTGAATCTGTCAATTGTAATCATCCAAGAAAGTATTGAGACAAGACTGTTAAATCGAATATCCAGTAATCCCTTGAAATCACTCTGTAAAAGAATTGAGCCTATCGATTACAGGAGAAATCCTTAGTAGAGGCCAACACTTAGAAATAATCACTTCATTCTATTCTGAATTTAACTTAATAGGCAAGCATATTCAGAATTATTTTGTATATCCTAATTTTTGACCAATCAAACCAACTTTTATTGATAAAAAGAAAAAAGTTAATACACTGTATAGAATTGAGATTATATGAATATCATGGTCACCACAACAAGAATAGGCTGGATTTAGTAAGGCATAGCATATGAGATAAATGAAGCAATAGCTATAGGAAGTCACAGACCGGCTATGTCCCTCTTGCTAGCATTTTCTCATAATTCTCTATGGACTCGAGCCTCTGAATCATCAGCTGTTGCCTAAATTTATTTATAAATGCTTCCGCGCTTTCGTTTATGTCTTCCGATTTCTTTCTGTCCATCCTTGGTTGTGCCGCCGTGGCACTGGACTTTGCGGCGGGGTTTCTCTCTGCAGCCATAGCAGGCCTTTCTCTTTGTTCTTCTTCTAACACCTTGGAGCTGCGGTGGAGAGGTGGAATGGAGCTCTTCATTTTACCTCTTGCTTCTTCTCTAAAATATAGCTCATAGTATGCCTCCTAAGCCAATGTATTCCCATATTTATAGAGGGAGATTAATTGCAAAATACAAATACTATTCTTTTGAATGATTAAGCGAAATAAGAAATGGTCAAGAATAAACATATCAATAAATCATGTTTGAATCCGACATTTAAAATTCCAATCCGCATATCAAATGAATTATGTTATAACTAAGAATCTATTAAAAATCAAATATACGATCTACAAAACCTGAATGAAAACACTCAATTTAACTTGAATTCTAACATATTAGGTTAGAATTTCTACTAGTTTCATATTGTAATAAGAGAATTGCAACATATATTTATATAGATTTAATGCATAGCAAATTGGTTTTGTCTATATCCAATATGGAAATTGATAAAATAGGAAATGATTTGGACTTGAAAATGGATACTCAAGTAAAACATATTTTTCTTATATAAAAAAGTTGGAAAATGCTACATAATTCAAATTAAATTCAAAAATTCAAATTCAAATGCATATTATGGTTTGGATGAGCGTGAAATGAGTGGGTCCCACTGAAAAAAATTAATAGGACCTACTCATTCAAAGAATGATATGTCTTTGGATTACAACTTTTTGAGTTTTATTTGAATTTTATAGCCTTGCTCAAAAAAAGTTTGAATTCCATTTAAGATTCATTTTATTGACAAACTTAACCCGAAAAAATTAGTATGAGAATAAACATAGTTGAACTCGAGTCTCTGTGTCCATCTTTCACGATTTGGGAAATGATGAACCCATAAGTCAATTCTCGGGATGCACAAACAATGTAATTTAAAAACTACTCAACTTAAACCTTGCGGCTTAAGGAGTGGATTTGGCCCCGAAGGTTCCCGGTTCGGGTGCCATTGTTGCCGAGTCAGGTGGCACTGCACCCTTTTTTCCTCCTTAAGGAGGAGGGGGTAAGAACATCAAATTGATCATATGGATAACGTAGTGTCTTAAATAACAGCGTGGCAACTCTACCAAAATAATACCCAACTGTAGCTTGTTAGCCACATTGCGTTCACATGTTCTTTTTCGGAAAAGGTGCATTGCACATGTTTGGCGTTGAATGATCTGGGATGACACACTTTCAACCATTACCTTTCCTAGTTCTCTAGTGTTAAAATTTATTCAACTCAAAATCCGAGTTGTATTAGAAACGTAATAGATTTTTATGCAATAGATTTTTTTTTTTTTAAGGTTGCTTAATGCAATAGATTCAAAACACTTCAACAGGTTGCTGAAAGTAATAGATTCTTTTTTTAGTCTTAATAGATTCTACGACAAATTTTAAACTTAATTATCGATTTAGATACTTTTGAGCTTATTTATTAAATTGAGACATTTTTTAAAAACAAAGGCAACAATCTTGCTTCTATTAAAAAATGGAGTCAAATAACCGCGCTTTTAAATAAAAGGTTTGGACAAAATACCCCCTTTGACTTTAGAAAGTTNTTCTTCTAACACCTTGGAGCTGCGGTGGAGAGGTGGAATGGAGCTCTTCATTTTACCTCTTGCTTCTTCTCTAAAATATAGCTCATAGTATGCCTCCTAAGCCAATGTATTCCCATATTTATAGAGGGAGATTAATTGCAAAATACAAATACTATTCTTTTGAATGATTAAGCGAAATAAGAAATGGTCAAGAATAAACATATCAATAAATCATGTTTGAATCCGACATTTAAAATTCCAATCCGCATATCAAATGAATTATGTTATAACTAAGAATCTATTAAAAATCAAATATACGATCTACAAAACCTGAATGAAAACACTCAATTTAACTTGAATTCTAACATATTAGGTTAGAATTTCTACTAGTTTCATATTGTAATAAGAGAATTGCAACATATATTTATATAGATTTAATGCATAGCAAATTGGTTTTGTCTATATCCAATATGGAAATTGATAAAATAGGAAATGATTTGGACTTGAAAATGGATACTCAAGTAAAACATATTTTTCTTATATAAAAAAGTTGGAAAATGCTACATAATTCAAATTAAATTCAAAAATTAAAATTCAAATGCATATTATGGTTTGGATGAGCGTGAAATGAGTGGGTCCCACTGGAAAAAATTAATAGGACCTACTCATTCAAAGAATGATATGTCTTTGGATTACAACTTTTTGAGTTTTATTTGAATTTTATAGCCTTGCTCAAAAAAAGTTTGAATTCCATTTAAGATTCATTTTATTGACAAACTTAACCCGAAAAAATTAGTATGAGAATAAACATAGTTGAACTCGAGTCTCTGTGTCCATCTTTCACGATTTGGAAAATGATGAACCCATAAGTCAATTCTCGGGATGCACAAACAATGTAATTTAAAAACTACTCAACTTAAACCTTGCGGCTTAAGGAGTGGATTTGGCCCCGAAGGTTCCCGGTTCGGGTGCCATTGTTGCCGAGTCAGGTGGCACTGCACCCTTTTTTCCTCCTTAAGGAGGAGGGGGTAAGAACATCAAATTGATCATATGGATAACGTAGTGTCTTAAATAACAGCGTGGCAACTCTACCAAAATAATACCCAACTGTAGCTTGTTAGCCACATTGCGTTCACATGTTCTTTTTCGGAAAAGGTGCATTGCACATGTTTGGCGTTGAATGATCTGGGATGACACACTTTCAACCATTACCTTTCCTAGTTCTCTAGTGTTAAAATTTATTCAACTCAAAATCCGAGTTGTATTAGAAACGTAATAGATTTTTATGCAATAGATTTTTTTTTTTTTAAGGTTGCTTAATGCAATAGATTCAAAACACTTCAACAGGTTGCTGAAAGTAATAGATTCTTTTTTTAGTCTTAATAGATTCTACGACAAATTTTAAACTTAATTATCGATTTAGATACTTTTGAGCTTATTTATTAAATTGCGACACTTTTTAAAAACAAAGGCAACAACCTTGCTTCTATTAAAAAATGGAGTCAAATAACCGCGCTTTTAAATAAAAGGTTTGGACAAAATACCCCCTTTGACTTTNAAAATTCAAATGCATATTATGGTTTGGATGAGCGTGAAATGAGTGGGTCCCACTGGAAAAAATTAATAGGACCTACTCATTCAAAGAATGATATGTCTTTGGATTACAACTTTTTGAGTTTTATTTGAATTTTATAGCCTTGCTCAAAAAAAGTTTGAATTCCATTTAAGATTCATTTTATTGACAAACTTAACCCGAAAAAATTAGTATGAGAATAAACATAGTTGAACTCGAGTCTCTGTGTCCATCTTTCACGATTTGGAAAATGATGAACCCATAAGTCAATTCTCGGGATGCACAAACAATGTAATTTAAAAACTACTCAACTTAAACCTTGCGGCTTAAGGAGTGGATTTGGCCCCGAAGGTTCCCGGTTCGGGTGCCATTGTTGCCGAGTCAGGTGACACTGCACCCTTTTTTCCTCCTTAAGGAGGAGGGGGTAAGAACATCAAATTGATCATATGGATAACGTAGTGTCTTAAATAACAGCGTGGCAACTCTACCAAAATAATACCCAACTGTAGCTTGTTAGCCACATTGCGTTCACATGTTCTTTTTCGGAAAAGGTGCATTGCACATGTTTGGCGTTGAATGATCTGGGATGACACACTTTCAACCATTACCTTTCCTAGTTCTCTAGTGTTAAAATTTATTCAACTCAAAATCCGAGTTGTATTAGAAACGTAATAGATTTTTATGCAATAGATTTTTTTTTTTTTAAGGTTGCTTAATGCAATAGATTCAAAACACTTCAACAGGTTGCTGAAAGTAATAGATTCTTTTTTTAGTCTTAATAGATTCTACGACAAATTTTAAACTTAATTATCGATTTAGATACTTTTGAGCTTATTTATTAAATTGAGACATTTTTTAAAAACAAAGGCAACAACCTTGCTTCTATTAAAAAATGGAGTCAAATAACCGCGCTTTTAAATAAAAGGTTTGGACAAAATACCCCCTTTGACTTTAGAAAGTTTGCAACTCACTGCTTAAGGTTTTAATTTTAACAATTAAATAGCCCCTTTTAAGTTTGAATATTTTTGCAATTAACTCCAATAGTTATTTTTAGACAAAAAAACTTGACAAAAGTTATTGAAAAAAAATATTACACTTCTGTATTAAATATTCATACCCAATATCCACACTTCTCCTTACACCCTTCCATCCCCCCTCACCTCGGATGGTTAGCTCTCATTCCCTTTTCTCTTCTGGTAGAAACTCTTCCTTCCCCATGATGACGTGAGGGCGAAAGTTTCATTATTTTTTAGTCTTGTTTTTTTCATTTTTTTATTTTTTGAGGGATAAAATTGGTATCTTAAAAAAAATATAGGAAATAATATACAAGACGAAGGGTGTAATAGTTCTTTCAGGTGTTCAACTATTGTTGTTAGTCAATTTAATTCACTTGTGGATAGGACAAATTGCAGCATTTGAAAACGCATAGAGCTAATTACAACAAGGGATATAGTTGAAGGGGATAGATTATAATTAACCCTAAATGCTATGTAAAAACATTCACATGCATATTTCTATTAGAAACTCGTGTGTATATATGAAATGAATATGCAATTTTAGAAATTTATCAATTTTAGCTCTGATGCAAATCTCACCAAAGTTTTATTCCTAGAGCAACCTCTGATTATAGTGACGTTTCACTCATTGTCTACATGTGAGGCAGAATCTTATAGTTCAAAACAAAATATATGTCACATATAATTTACAAATGAAAGAATTTTCTGCAAATGAAATAATTTTGGCATAATCTCATGAAATAATGCTAGAGCAAATGAAAGTAATATAGTTGACCTACTGTAATATCCAGGGTAAAACAAATGAAATAACAATAATAATAATAAAAATAAAAGTGAATAAGTTGGATTTTAGAAATTTTAGACTTTTGTTTGGCTTGGGGTCTATTCTTATGGGCTTATGAATATGATTTGAAAATTAGTGGAGATAATTTAGTTTTTTGGTTGTAGGGAGAAATATCAGATAATTACAGAAACCTATTAGGATTATTATACATGTAGTTTAAATAGGGTAGTATTGTTTAATAGGTCAAACCCTTTGTGTATATATATAAATATATATAGGTTTTTAGGGTTTTATTGGTGAAAAGGCTTGTGGAGGAGTCTGTCCTGTGAACAAAGAGGAAAAAATAATGTGAAAAAGAGAAAGAGAGAGTAAATAAAGAAGGAGGAAGAAGACAAGTGGCTTAGGTCCCCTTAAAAGTGAGTTTATAATTTATTTTATGAGTTTTATAGTTTATTCAACCACATGATATTAGGTTGAT